CCCCCTTTGATTCTTTGGTTTCTACATATGCTTTGATCTTTACCACCTTACTACATGTATCCATTACCTTCTTTTTTCTTTTTTCTTCTGTTTTTGTTTTTGTTTGTTTCTCATCTCCTGCTTAACTATTATTTTCCTCTGCTTACTCTGCTGTTTTTCCTATCTCCTAGCTGACATTTCCCTCTGTGCAGTATCTTTCTACCTTCCCTTTCCTCTCTTTTCCAAAACACGGTTCATCATTCTATGCCACTAATGTATAGCAGATTCTGAAATACTGTCATCTGAGACAGTTAAGTACTAAACAAAACGTTACCAGGGTGGAGGAATCACTTACCCTGATTGACAACAAATCGTAACTTCTGTATTGTTGCCAGATTGCCGCTAACTCTGTATATTCCATCAACATCTAGACCTGAAAGAGAAACACATATTTCATTTTAGATCATATAAGTATTTTTCTTTGTACATCTGTCAGGAAGCCAGAAGCGCCCTAACAAGTATGAAGAGCAGTGTAGTGAATGACTGAAAAATAATCCACCTGACAACAACAGAAGTGCCTCCTGCCTGATTAAAACGACAATGAAAAATAAAAGTGGTAGATTAACTGAAGTGAATACAAAACACCTAACTATAATTATCTTGTAATTCTGTCAGTAGAATACGGTTCTGCAAGGGTATTTGAGTGTGACGGGAAAGGAAGAGGGAATTAGCTCTCGTGCTCATGGAGAAGGGCTGTTTGGGATACACACGATGCTATGCTAACTCTGCTTAAACGTGGGGAGTTTGTATTAATAGTGCTGGGGAAAGTTCTCAGTCTGGGGCCCGGGTTTTTGCAAACATGAATTTCTGAGGCTGTGACCTTTCTGAAAATAAAGCAGGGAGATGTCCACTCTAAAATCATGACATGCGTGAGACTACACACAACTACTGTTTCTCTACTATATTCTTCATAGCAGATCAGACAAGTTTGAAGATGAAATTAAATATCTCAAATAGCATATGCCCTGGAGTACATTTCTTCATTAATATAGGCCATTCTTTCCAAGGACAACCTGACAGTCTTGTTTCTCCCTGCATATCTACTCAAGGTTTATCTTCTAGGTGAAACTAGATGTCATACTCCCTTTTGTGACATATTATCTCCTACAGCAAGCTCTGCTGATATGACTGTTTAAAATAGCACTTCCAGCCCCGGTTGCATAGCTGTAGCATTTCAAAGCACATGGGAACTGCTCTCCTTTCCCGGGAGAATTAGCTATTGTGCAACAACGACCGAATCTGCATGCTTAAAAATTGAAAACACTAAACTGCACATTGTAGTTTCACATTTAAAACTTGCAAGTACACAAGAAGCTAAGAGAAGCTACACAAAACAGGGTTTTTTAAGGCTACTCATCACTTGGAATACAAGTTTTAATTAGCTTTTGGCAAGCAATTTCTGAGAAAGCCTTTCTCTTGGAAAACATTAATTTGTCAAACCCAACAATTTTCAGGAAATATTTCCTGACAATGTATCTAGGGGGAATTTTTTTGCGATCCAGGGTGGGGAAAAAAGAAAAACTGAAACTATAGGAAGGAGTGGAAATAAGTCCAAAAACCCAGAAGCCCAGTTGTAATAACACTTAAATAGAAAGGAGCTGAGGTTCAAGTCCTTATTTCAAAAATACTTGTATCACGCCTTGGCAGATGAGTTCCACAGCTAGTGGACTCAACTGTTTGGAGGTATTCCTTACTGATCTTGAAACATTTAAAAAGATCTACTTTTCCTTTTGATGTAGACTGAAACCAAATAAAATCTTTGCTTACGTGTTTGTTTTCTCTCTCCACAAAATACAGCTCTAATTTTACGTCTATCCTGCTAGGAACATCCTGATTTGATTTACATTAAATAGTCTGTTTTAAAGATGAATAATAATTCCATATTATACACTGGTTATCTATGTCTTTTATTAGAAAATTTTCTACCCTGCACCTGTGAGTGTCCTGCAACATAATACTGAGAGTGATGATTCATTTCAGGAAGATCGCCTTTGGTTACAGAGGGATAAAGAAAAAGTTTATTCAAGAGAAATCAAAAAGGATTTGGTAATCAAGAACACTTGGAAGTTATCCATCTACTGGATATATAACATATGAGCAAATGGAAATTACTAAAATGTTTAAGTAATGCAATTCTATCCTAAATCTGAAGAGTCTAATTCTGTTTTAGAAAGGGGAGAGTGAGAGAGCAAGAGTAATTCCCAGCATCGGAATGTGGGACTCCTGTGGTAAGGGATTAAGAATTTCATCATGTAAATTGAAGTCTAAACCAGAAAGTAAAGAGGAAAAATAAAACAAACAAATAAACAAACAAGCCCCAAAACAGAATGTTAACTTTTGTTTAGATCTAAGGAGTGAGAGCGCAAGAGTAATTCCCAGCATCGGGACTCCTGTGGTAAGGGATTAAGAATTTCATCATGTAAATTGAAGTCTAAACCAGAAAGTAAAGAGGAAAAATAAAACAAACAAATAAACAAACAAGCCCCAAAACAGAATGTTAACTTTTGTTTAGATCTAAGTCAATTCAGTTCTTAACCTTTTTGGATATTTGGAAGTGAAAGCAATACATGTCACTTTGGGTGAAATAGCCATGTCTCACATTAATAGCATCAATTTGGAACCTGCATAAATTATCCAGATCAAGTGAAAATGGCAAACTATGTTGTAAATTAGTGGATATTACATCTTGCAAAGTGATCTGGAGTATACAAGTGCATTATTATTGTTATAAATTTACTTTGATCCAGAAATGAGGTCTGATTAGTATTTCATTTGGACACTATACAATATGGCAGAGAGAAAAAAAAAATATCCAAGAATATCAAGCCAATTATAGTGTTCACGTGCCATCAACTTTCTGCTCCAAGAACTTTGAAAGTTAAGCCAAACCTAACCAATGCAAATTGGTGGATTTGGACATCCTTTTCATGACCACATTATCTTAGCTGGATTGTTAACAACTTAGTTTGGAAATCCAATTAGGCGCAAAAGAGAAAGAGAGAGAAAGAGAAAGAGAGAAATATGTCTTTATAGTTCTAATATCCTGATTCGATGAACACTTTTCAAAGTAAATTCACTTTTAAGGGCACCTCTATCAAGAATAAAAACATCACGGCACTGCTGTCAGTGTTTCTTCACGGCAGGCTATAAATACTGAGGGAACAAGATGAAACAAAAGCCTTGCAGAGTTTCCTATCTGGTGCTGGTGTTTAAGTATAGCGGTAAAGAACATTTCAGAAAAATTATTCATTGTAATAAAGACCAACTGTTGTTCACTATAGGGTTGTGAACTGTTGTTCACTTCTTGTGTTTTGGAGTGGGGATTGTCAGTGAAGAATCACTGGACTTTACCCTAGAGGAGAACAAGTATTTTATTTGTTTTATATCTGAATCTCTAACTTTGTTTCTGTTTGTTGTAATGAGGAACCTGAGAGCAGAATGGACCCTCAATTAGAAATGATAGCCAAAAGCATGAAAAATACTTTCGTATTTCCACCCTAAATTTGGTAATGGTATAAGAAATGTAGGAAAAGGAATTACTGAAGAATACATCAGATTAGCTGCCAAACTATAGGCAAATTTTAGTTCTTTCATTTTTAAAAATTATACAGGTACTCTGGATGAGAAAGTTAAAAGGCACCTTAACTCAGGCTTGGTTGAGACTCATAAACAATAATGTTTGTTATATTCACTCTGTATAACTGCACAGAAGATGTTAGAAGAACACTTATTTAAGAACATTTCTTGCACTTCTTCTTCTGGCCAAAATGGAAATAACCATGAATGCAGGTCAGTGTCAGCTCCAGTAGCAGTTTAATCTGGAACTAGGTATTGCAGAGAAACATTAAAAACATAGTTAAAAATTAGAACTTAAGTGATCTATTTATCCAAATATACATTTTAAAATATCAGACTTTGAGATTGCTTGAGGTAGTCCTGATGCTTTATGAACTGCCTTGGGTGAAACGTTCTCATTAATCATTTTCTGTTGCATAGAACAAATCCCTCTCCCAAATCACATTGCATTCTGCCTAAGCTTAATGTATATTTGACAATATTTTCAAACTGAATATAAAAGGAAACTCTCTACGTGCAGGGGGAAGGGGGGTGGTGGTATACAGAAATCTATCCCTCTGTTTTTTAACAAGATTTAGAATTTGAAACATACCATTTTAAATGATACTAGGTAACTTCCTGTATAGAAACCGTGAAACTTTCACAATTAATGTATCCTGAAATAGGTGTGGACCCCAGGCCTGGTAGGAGTTTTGTAAAAGAAACCATCGTGCTGGATTCAACAACAAAGTGAAGTACAAACTTGAAGAAAGGCATTCTTTAGTTAGTCCTTTCATTTAAAATCAGTTATGTTCAGGGCAAAAATATTGTATTTCAAAGGAGCCTATTATGCCTTCCCATAAACAGAAAGATCATACGTTTTAAAACTAAAGTATCATTATGTAATCAAGCTGTTGTATTATAAACTATTTTGTGGGCTCAGATGCCCAGGGCTATCTTTACAAATATTTAAGAGGTCATTATCAGGGTATGTTCTCCCTAAAACTATAATTCTTTCCTCGTGTTTTCATATGCATCTTAACATAAATATCTGATTTATAAACAATTTTTTTTTAAGTTTACTAAGTGCACAAAAGTGAGGCATGAAGTCATTTAAAGCAGAAATGCGTGAGCACAGCAAACATACCAATGTCAAGATAACGTCGGATGAGAAAAACACCACAAAACAACGTGCAACAAAAATAAAGTTTCACAAAAGAATCAATATTTGTATGCCAGTAGAAGGAAAATCATGAAGAGTAGCAAAGGATAAACTTGACACATTAAAATCTGACAATAGTACTCTATCTGGGTAGGGTTACAAAAGGTACCCAGAGTTTCAGGTGAATGTAGGAGCAAAAAACCTTTTTGTCTGATGCCATGGAAATCAGAGCTGAAAATGATGAGAACAACAAAACAAGCCTGAGTGACACCACAGAGAGAAAACGAACATGACAGCATTGACAGCAAACAAGGGACATATGGATGTAAAATGTCCAGTGCAGAGGTTGTGTGAGCTGAAGGTACTTGAACCAGCAAACTTGGTGCACAGCTTAATCAGCTTGGGTTGAAATGAGCACTGGCTCCTTTTGAACGTAAGACTGTCTGCACTCAGTGTAATTTTCAGCATTGCTGACATCTCTGTCCTCCTTTTTGGTGTGGTGTTGGGTCGTGTTAGGCATGCCCTAAAGCTCCCGAAATGGGAGTTGACAGCAGGATTTGCTTTATTCTGCTGGAACAAAACTGCTGCTTTGACCGTCAGAACTACCCACTGGTACTCCTCCCATCAAAGGATCACATTTGTGAGGCTCAAAACAA